GTATTTTTTTTTTTAGACTTTAGAAACTCAGAAGCTGATCAAATATCGGGTTAAATATCGGTGGGGTGGCCGATGTCCGATATTCAGTTTTAAGACCGATACAGGCCGATACCGATAGGGGGCCGATTATATCGTGCATCCCTAATTTTTAGACAATGTGAACAGATAACAGGAAATTTTAAGTGAGCATGTGGGACTAGGATTTAGTTATTTATTTAAGATAACTACACAAAGGACAGCAAACTAAGTCAATTTGAATTCAGATAAGTTGAGTGATAACTGAGAGGAGCAGGATGACAAAACAAGAACATTAAATCAAATATAAGATCAGAATGGTCTTTTACCTTTAGGATGATCCAATTTTCTTGATTAATTTGATGATAAACCGCAAAAGATCAGATTTTTTTGTCGTTGTGTTAACTGATGTGCTTCTAAGCACAGCTCATGTATCGGTCGCATGACTTTCTTAAAACAATATGCGCACCGAAACAGGGTTTTGCAGTTATGCTACGTTCAGACCACAAGCAGCAGAGGCAGCAGAAGCAGCTGGTTTACATGCAGAGTCAATGGTTGATGTTTCACTTTTTAAATGTTTCTTTTAAATTGAGTCTTACGAACTGCATTCTTGTCATTCACAAAGCCTTTTCACAGGAAAGCCCCACCAGATCTAAAAACGTTGTGATATAAAACGAAATGTATAAAACAATAATAAATGGAAAAAAATATATCTAAATAATATAAAAAGCTAAGTTACTCTCAAAACCTTTTCATGATTAAATGGTTTTCGAAGTTTCGTAGGAAAAACGTTTCTTTGCTTGCAACAATAACTGAAAAAAATTCCATCGATTCTTCAGGTTAAACAAGACAACCAAAATAACACACATACAACAAACAAGAAGCAGTCTTTTCATTTTTATTTTGGTAAATGAAAAACTTGTGTTGAGAAATTTCCTTTGGGTAGAATTTTTGATAAGTTCCCCCCTCAGCTCAGTTAATTTAAGTAATTTTACTGCCAGTCAGACACTTATCTGTCCATCACAAACACACAGCAGCTCATTTTCTACACCAAATCAAAGTGCCCTGTTTGCCCCAAACCAACGGGGGGGGGGGGGAGCAGAAAAAAGTCCTTCAAATATTGCACAAAATGGCAAAAGCAGTGTATAAAATTGGCCAAAAACAGCTGCTTGGACAGTAAATAGTTATATAAGCAATGATTGATCATATAAAAAAATTCTCTCAAAATGAAAAACATTAACATTTAGTCATTTGTGATGATGTACTTTTGACACATACACACATAGAGTATCTATGGAGGGCCCAACTGGAATCAATAGGTCTACTTTCCAGCGTTTGATAAATGGCATTAAAAAGTGCAACATCTTTATTTAGAGCAGCTGTGTCCAAACGGGGACTAAAATTCACACATTTAAGTAACAGAGGGCCAATAAACTATACAAGATATTTTTACAAATGAAAAAAATAAATGTGGCGTTGTGCAAAGGTATTCATTTAGCTAAGCCAAGACTTTATGGAACCACCTTTTGTATTTCAGGGTATATCTCCTCTAACCTGACTCCGCCAGATGGATTTGCTCCGCATATCCATCTGGAAACCATCGGTTGAAGTAAT